AAAAGAAAATGTTGGTCAACTCCTCCACCATTCTATCTCCACCATTCTGGCAGGATATAGAGTTCAAGCTGAAAACGAAGCATCTCTTTGACTTTAAGAGGGAGAACATTGGGAGGCCGAGGCAGGCAGATCACCTGAGGTCTGGAGTTCAAGACCAGCCTGGCCAACATGGTGAAACCCTGTCTCCACTAAAAAATACAAAAATTAGCCGGGCATGATAGCGGGTGCCTGTAATCCCAGCTAGTCAGGAGGCTGAGACGGGAGAATTCTTTGAACCCGGGAGATAGTGGCTGCAGTGAGCCGAGATCATGCCACTGCATAGGTGAGCAAGACTCCATTGCAAAAAACAAAAAACAGAGGGACTACATACATGATAAAACAACATACATGATGTTTTAGTGTATGCACAACCTACTTCCTAACCCAAGCACCATTAACAAAGTATTAACTACTTCAACTAACGGTTGTGTGTTGAGTTTTGCAAGCTTCTTTAGTGAAGCAATAAAACATGGCTATTCAGAGTATTGCCTTGAGAATTCTGACGTACTCACCTTGCAGCTCTGACCTTGGAAAAGTTTATGAAATGCACTCAAGCCCAGGTTTCCCGTGAGTAAGAAAATAAACTGCTGACGTCATAGGGTCATGGTGAGAATGGCATGAGCTGCTACACAGAGGAAGCACCATTTCTGACGCACCACAGGGCTCTGATACTTTTAACATTGGTGTTATTCTTGACATCTTGGAGATTCATCTCAGCCCATTCCACCTACTCTTTCACAATCCAGGAGAACATGTAGCTCATGGGTGCTTAATGTGGGGCTCTGAATTTGCTTTTTTTTTTTTCCTTTTGACACCAAGTTTTGCTCTTGTTGTCCAGGCTGGAGTGCCATGGTGCAATCTTGGCTCACTACAACCTCCGCCTCCTGGGTTCAAGCGATTCTCCTGCCTTAGCCTCCTGAGTAGCTGGGATTACAGGCATGCACCACCACGCCCAGCTAATTTTTTGTATTTTTAGTAGATTTGCGGTTTCACCATGTTGGCCAGGCTGGTCTTGAACTCCTGACCTCAGGTGATCGACCCACCTCGGCCTCCCAAATTGCTGGGATTACAGGCATGAGTCACTGTGCCTGGCCGGAATCTGCCATTCCTGTCTCAGAATTAACTGAAGTTGTATTCAAAATTTTGTTTATATGTACATTTGTCTGAGGAAAGGGGCTTTGACTTTCAACAAAATTCTCAAAAGGATCCAACCTCAAAGATGCTGAGAACCACTGCTCTAGGGATTTTCAAGAGAAAACAG